ACATTAAAAATTCACTTAACTACATTTTCCATTCCTTAAAAGTTATAAAAGCACTCTATATTTTCCCTTACTAATTTAACAAAATAACAGTTCAGAATGAAATTTTTGTTTGCAAACATGTGTCACATTATTTAATATTTTTTAACAAATTTTGTTAGTGATGCAGTTTCTAATTTCTAATTAATTAAATAATTAGATAATTAATGTAGCATAAAATAAACTTTACTCTCTTCGAAATTTAAACATCTTGCCGTAAGTTGAACAAGCTTTTTATTACGGATATTTTGCGAAATAAAGGAACACATAAACCGAAAGCAAATGTAGCAAAAGGATTTTACGTTATCATTCCTTCTCGAGAAGCAGTCTTGCGGAGTGGATCCTTCGCGCTACCTTGCCCTCAACAGATTTTAAACCTCTCTTGCACGTACTCGGAATAATTTCAACGCGAGTATATTCGTGCTCCATGGACGATCGTATTTGGAATAATTTCCCAATATGCTGTACATTGCTGTACGTTGAAGACCATCGGAGCACTGTAGAACACGCTAGGGTCTGGAGTGGTTTCGGCTCTTGAAGTAAAACGGAGGTACTTAGAATCATGCGAGAAACAGAGAACCCTCGACATGCATAGCAAGTGCTACCGTGTTATATAGCATTTACAGAAGTGCACCCTCCAAAGCATTACGTCTTATTGCAACAACAAAACACTTGTTTCAACAAACTAGTGTTTGCGGAATGCTGAGAGGGGTCATTTCATTTGCTTGGGCGAAATAATGCAAAGTATTCCCTTCTTGTGTCTTTTGGTTTGTGTAATGCTGCACAATCCTCACAGTTTCGAACGCTCGAGTTTTGGGCGATTAATTTTAAGTGAGATCGCGAAAAGGTCGTGTAAAATCGGTTTTCTCAGATGATATCAGTTTTCAGTATTTTTATACCTTCGTTCATTGAATGGCTAGAGCTAAATTAACTGGGTTAACTCCATTTTCAAATGAAAACGCAAGTCAAAGAACAAGGATGAATACAGGACACGGAAAACGTTTTGTTTATTAATACAACTAATATTTAGTAGTGTGCCTGAGGGTAATGAAAAATACAAACAAGCTAAAACAACATCTTATGTTTTCTTTCTAAAACATTTCATCAGAAAGTCGTCGTTTCGAAGGTTTTGTGAATGTGTGTTAGTGAGAGTGGTAATATGAAATTCACATTAAGGGAATTAAAAGTAATACTGTGTTCAATGAAGGAAGAATATGAAACGAATACCGCAAACATTACGAAGAAATTCTCTTATAAAGTGATGGTAGTACTTGCTGTAAAATGTCTTTAGTTTTTATTAACTTGGCTTTGCGGTATGCGCTTTTACTCCTTTCATAGAGTACTGTGATTCTATGCCTTCTACTATACATACAGGAATACAGACTTGTAATGATCAACAAAGTAATATTTGTAAACAAGCCTCATCGCTTCTATCAACAATGGTCAAAATAAAGTGAAAAGGTACTACAATGTATTCATCAGTGATCGAAGAAATAAAATATCTACTGAACAAATAAGCTAATTACATATCTCATTCTTTAAATAAACCCTCTGTCGATACTATTCCTGGTTTGTATAGCGTTTGACGATTACTAGGGGAGAGGGCTCTGCCAGATTCAAATTGAGATTCAATATTCGACTCACTTTGAGGTTTAGCCGAGTAGGATTTGCTCCACGATGAAGGACATCAGTGACAGGACGGAGGTGCGACGGTAGGGACACTTCTGTGGGCATTGGCTCTGCCGAGAAATCTTCTCCCTTGTTTACTCTCCCCGTATGTGCGGTACGGTTGGTAATGAACCGACCGGTGGTAGCGGTTCCAGCAATTCATTCCCGGCAGAGCTATCCTTTATGTTTGCGCGGGTCGCCGTCACCCACAAACCTCCCGTTCACTTCCCCTTTAGTTCAGTGCGCCCTGTGACCGCCCTCACAACATTTCACGCATACAAGGAGGACCCAAAATCAACTGCCACCGTTGGACAGTAACGTCTCGAGAACCATCAAATGAAACAAATATTTTTGACATCCTAGTTCTTCTCGGCAAAAACAACTTTTATGCTGATGATCACAGAATGGTTAGTAACTTCGAAACTATAATAGAATTTTGGGGCATTCTGATACTGTACTGTATAATATTCAAGAAGCTTGATCTAACTAATTTTAAAACACTTTTAATTTTCATCAGAGTAGTAATTAATAATATTTTTTTGGTAATCAATATTATGCTTTGTTTCTTTTAATAATTTCATTCTTTTTTATTAACAACTGTATACTTTCCTTCTTTCTATCTATTTTCACAGGTAAAAAGAAATATAGTTTCTTCAGTACTCTATTTATCGACGAAGGTGACCCGCCCCATTTGCTGATCATATTATGTAGGGAAACTGTCACACGCTTCGAAGGACCTTCGCAACGAAGGACCTTCTAAATACTCTCGATTGCTTTAATGAAACCGCATACTAGCTCAATAGCGTCAGCCTTGTCTTTTCATTTAATTCAATTCAGCGCTTATTAATTGCACGCGTTACTGCAGCCTCGCGTTTCAGTTAGGAGGTTGTTTGCCTTGGACGTGACAAATGCCGCTGTGATTTCCGGCGATTTCTCGGCGGCGCGATTGGAAGCTAAGCCCGGACGCGAATTCTTCGTCGCTGCTTCCACTCCCGCCTTCCAACCCCCGGGCGAGGAATTCCGCCGAAGGAAATATTTTTTCGGCGCTCGCAGAGGCCCCGCACAGAATGCCGGCGGCGGCGATCGCGGAGACGGCGGCGGGGGTGGGATCGGGGCGGGGGGGGTGATGCCGAGGGGGCGAAGAGGTTGTGAAGACGCGGATGGTGGGGCGGGTGAGGGCAAAAGGGTAGGTGCGGAGGAGGATCGGAGGGTGATCGAAGGACGTGTGGAGGTTGGAACGGGGGCTATGCGGGTGCTGTGGAGAGGCTGTGCGGGGGCTGTGCGGGGGCTGTGCGGAGGCTGTGCGGGGGCTGTGCGGGGGCTGTGCGGGGGCTGTGCGGGGGCTGTGCGGGGGTGTGCGGGGGCTGTGCGGGGGCTGTGCGGGGGCTGTGCGGGGGCTGTGCGGGGGCTGTGCGGGGGCTGTGCGGGGGCTGTGCGGGGGCTGTGCGGGGCTGTGCGGGGGCTGTGCGGGGCTGTGCGGGGCTGTGCGGGGGCTGTGCGGGAGATGTGCGGGAGATGTGCGGGAGATGTGCGGGAGATGTGCGGGAGATGTGCGGGAGATGTGCGGGAGATGTGGCGGGAGTATGTGCGGGAGAAGTGTGGAGAAGTGCGGGAGAAGTGCGGGGACGTACGGGGACTGGCGCGGAGGACGTGCGGGAGCGGGCGGATGCGGCGGCGGGGGCCTGGGGGCGGCCCGGGGGCGGCACGGGGGCGGGCGGGGGGCGACGCAGGGGCGACCGGGGGCGACGCGGGGCGACGCGGGGGCAACGCGGGGGCGACGCGGGGGCGACGCGGAGGCGACGCGGGGGCGGCGCGGGGCGGGGGCGGGCGAGCCGCACGAGAGCGGAGTGAGGCCGGTTGAGTTCGGAGGTGGTGGCTGCGGTGGCGGTCTTCTTTTATCGGCGCTACACGAGCCCGCACTTCAATTCACGACTGGCGCGGGCGCGGGGGCGGACGCAGGGCGCGGCAGGGGGGGAGGGGCGGGCGAGGCGGGACGTCTTAAATCATAGAAGCGGGCCCGCCTGCGCCCCGTCTGCCGCCTCCGCCTCTTTTATGCGGACGCCTCGTCGGCGGGCAGCCTCTTGATCCGCCCGCAATCGCCTCCACTCCGCTTAGCTCCATCTCGGTGAGGCTGCCTGCGCGTTTGCCATCCCTGGGCTCCAGACTGTCTCTTTCCTTTGCGGGGGATGGGGATGGCAATTCTCATTCATACTCGAATATTCGATATCCTACATATCTAAACGGTCGATATATTGGTTGAAAGTCGCCGATATCCACTAATACTCTTATGTTGGTTTTTAAAACATAAAGTTTCAAAGAAAGCAACTTAAATACTTGAAAATATGTGCTTTAAATGTTTTGCCTTACCATAGCACTACTTTTTCAGCACGGTTTGATTAAGAAAATATGTTTGGTTCAACTGCTGTGCATTTAAGAAAAAGGGAAAATCAAGAAAAAGATGCTGGAGATAATATAAATTTATTGTCTTTTAAATTCATATTTTTCTGTTTAAAAGCTGCATGTAGTTGTTTAAAACTAAGTCATTCATAACATATAATATAACTAGATATTGATTCACCTGTTTACAGTATTATAGGAAATATTATTCATCCAATGGCGTTATTAAATGTTATTCCATATAAACTTTAGTACAAGTTGCAGCAACTTTCTGAATGACACTGCAAAAGGCAGATTATAAATTCTGAAGACATCGGACTCCCATATGTCCGTCTTATATCGTGAAATTAATAATGTTGATTTACTAGGATATACTAAAATAATAAATGTCAATGAGATAGCTGCTATTTTATCGATTTCATGTGTGTGCATTGTTCCTGAGCGATATGTCTATAATGCTTTGTCTCCTCTTTTTTGTTATAATAATTGAATTTAAGTGAGAAAAACGTTTTATATGCATAATTAAATGAAGGAACAAGGGCGATGTATTTTTATTTTATTGTCAACTTTAAGGAGCACTATATCACTATATTCATATGCTGATCCTATTTGCATTTCTAAAATTTGTGTTGTGTTTAGTTCATAACATGACAGTTACGAAACAGTTTTGTTTGCTTACTTAATATAATTACAATAAACAAAAATATAAAATTAAAAAATGTATTTATGTAAAATATCAGTCTTTTGAATTTACACGTTGCTTCCTGTCGTTTTATTGAAAATCGTGGCTGAGCATGTAACACTTCAAGAATTTGTTCGTGTCATTTTCTACTTAGCTAACTGTTTGAATCATTCTTATAAATCAGTTTCCAGAACCACAAATCCTATTAGTCAACACCATGCATGGTAGGCAGCTCATGCGTTTACGCTTAGGTTCGTGCACACAGTCGGTGCGTTAGCAATGCACACACCCGCAGAGCACACAAACGGTGCTTTTATGTGTGTTCGCAATATAGCCTGTAGAAATGCTTTATTATTCGAACCGTAATCGAAAATATTTGACATTAGTCTATTTTAGCCTCGCAGGGTAATCCTGCTGCCAGTTTATTTCCAGTTTGCGGAATGTTGTGGCACCAATCACATCTGAACGTTTACCCGAAATGTTTCGAGTGACGTTATAACACTTTTCAACATTAATTTCATTTCAACTATAAACGAAATATTCTCTCATGTTCACGCCAAATTCTCAAACTGATTCATTTCTCCCTCCTAATTTTTATTAATATGTATTTTAGCTGAATTAGTTTTTCACGCACTTCGCAGTGGAAATAGGAATACCTGCGTCCTCATGCATATGCCGCGGGTACGTCCACGATCGAAATAAAATGGAGGACACGAACTAGTACTATGTCAAGTGAACGCGGGGAAAAAGAGGTGGAGGAAGAGGAAGGACAGGGAGCTTGCACGGGCGTAATGAAATAGAGGACGCGAAATTACCAGGTAAAGAGAGAGAGGGGAGAAGAAAGAGGAGAAAATAAAAAAGGAGAAGAGCTCTCGGCGGAGAGAGAGCTAGGAGAAAGATGGGAAGATACAAGTGGTAAAGGGAGCGTGCATGCCGCGAATGAAGAAAAAAAAGAAGAGCACTGGGCAGAGAGAGAGAGAGAGAGAGAGAGAGAGAGAGAGAGAGAGAGAGAGAGAGAGAGAGAGAGAGAGAGAGCTGGGAGAAAGAGAGAGATAGGAGGGCGGGAAAGGGAGTGTGAGAAGCGCGGTCCAGATAAAAGCTCTCAATAAAGGACGACACACAACCAGACGACTGATCGGGTCTCCGCGCCTACAGCCATCCATTATGACTCCTTCCAATCCATCGTGGCTGAATGGCCATCCGGCCCGTAAGAAGGCTTCAAACGGGCTTCGCCTTTGGTGGCCTGGGCATTGGATGTGAAGAGCGCAAGGGGTGAGCGATCAGAATTGGTGGGAATGCCCAGGCGTGCTCCAACAAACTGCGTCTGTTTGGTTCCGCGTGGTTTAATTCATTTCCATCATTTCAATGCAAAAGTGCCATTGGATCTGGGAGTGAGAGTTGGAGATATTTGATTTGTAAATGATAAATGACGTGCTCGACTTCAAACATTTTCTTTAATTACAAATATTAAATATTTTACATAGTAGAAGCAGCAGTATTTACTGCTTTTCCTTCAAAATCATTGTTTAAGTAGCAAAGAAAGTGAAAAAGGAAATAGAGAGTAGCATTATTAAGTTAAAAAAATAAGTTTAACGTTTTAATAAAATAAAATACGGCACTTATGTATTTTTATTTATTTTCAATCAATTAAGTTCTCTAATAATGGCAAGAAAAATAAATTTGAGATTAGTATGTTAGTTCCTAAGATAACGTGATTTTTTTCTAGGATTGTTTAGCTTCAGAAGTTTCCGGGGAAACAGTGTTTAGTGCCTGTAGGAAGTATGATATTTTTTAGAACTGCACTGACAATAACGGACAAATACTAGTAAATATATTATGAAAATTATTCTTGAAATTTAACATTTGAGGACTGAATTTGCTGTGTGACAAAATGGCAGTGCAGTTCATCTTTCCACCTGCTGCGACAGAAACTCCGACAGTCACTGACCTCGTGAACAGGGCATCTGTCTTATTGCAGTCTTCATCGTTTGCGTTAAGTGAAAGTACACTAAGTCCTAAAACGTCAACAACATTCTGTAACGACGAGTGTTCAGAAGATAAAATCACCTCAAACCCCCACGAATTCTCTATAACAGAAGCTGCCGCAGCGCTAATTTCCACAGCCATAACGTTTTCTGAAGCGACCTCAGCTCTTGCTGACTCTGGGGTCACTGGAATCGATCATCCTCAAACGCGTGTTTTCGGAGTTCTAGCCTTCATCATCTCTGCTCTCGAGACCATATGCAGAGCGCTGGCAGACATTCTAAGGGCACCTTTTCTGGCGGAGATCGTTTCCGGGGCGGCCGCCAAAGTCGTTGCGTCAGCGGCCATGGCGGCAGAGGTCAAAGCAGACTCTCTTGTAAAGGGGGCATCGCTCCTGGCCAAAGTGACAGTTGAGCAAATTGAGAAGAGTGCTGGAGATCGTAAAGAGCCGCTAACCCGATCGAAAACCAACCAGCAGATGGAGTTTTCTTCAGGAGAGAATGGTGACCACAGAATTGCTTCTACCACGCCTTCTCTAACTCAACACGAAATGTACGGGACCCGAAATTCTAAAAGCGGGATTCTGGAAAAGTTCGGATATGTTTTGGAAGACGTTATAGGTTATGGAAAATTTTCTGTGGTTAAGGTATGACACTCGAGTAGTGGATTTCGCTCAAGAACAAGAACTGTGCCTCTGTATTATTTTTATAGTTAATAATGAAATTCAAGCTCTTCTTCACAGGCAGCACAGTCTAAGATACATAAACGCAAAGTGGCAGTAAAAGTTGTTACGAAGTCAGAAGTGCCACAGTTATACAAAGAAAAGTTTTTGCCGCGTGAAATCCAAGTTGCCCAGATTTTGAACCATTGCAACGTCATTAAATTCTTTCAAGTCATAGAAACAAATCACTGGTAAAAATCAGTTTTGATTTTATTCTAACTATAATACTTCTTACTGTAGTTTTACAAGAACTGTTGTGAAAGTTATTTCTTGCAGTGTCTATTTTGTAATGGAATATACAGAAGGCGGGATCCTTCGTGATGCTATTCGCAAAGGAAACGTGAATGAAAACAGAGCAAGGCGATGGTTTAGGCAGCTAGTTGAAGCCGTGAATTACTGTCATAAACTGGGAATAACTCACAGGTCTGTTCCTCTCTGCTGGTTCTGTAACGAAGAATATTTCTGGCACGACTTAAATTGCTTTTCTTCTGTAGAGACATAAAATGTGAAAACGTGTTGCTGGATGCAGAAGACAACATCAAACTGACTGAATTTTATTTTTCTCGAGTTCGAGAAGTATCTGCAAGAGAAAATTCTCTTAGTTATACCTATTGTGGAACTGAAGAATGTGCTGCACCAGAAATTCTGCAACATACTCCGTATGATCCAACTCTATCTGATGTGTGGTCAATGGGAGTGGTACTCTTCGTTATTTTGTACAATCAATTACCTTTCACACAAGAAGATGTGGATCTCTTTCGTATGGTACACAAATTATAATTTATACGTCTTCGTTATGTAAAGGTTTCTTTGATGAAAATATTTACAGCTTGTTCCCTGCATCAGCATGAATGTTGCTGACGAAAATGGGGTTTTGGTCCAGCAAACTTGCTGCCATATAATATGTAGAATGTATATCTTCTTGCTATTAGTGAAAATCAGAATTTGTGCTAATTGTGACCTTGGTATTTCAATATAATGGGGCTGCAAGTCAGCGTGCAAAACTCTTATGGAAATTACAGGAGAAATACGGTGACGCTACTTAAACAATAATACCCATTACAGACATTTGTCGCTATATACATATTTACATTGGTACATTTCAAACATTATTTCTGCATGACGCAGAGATTCTCCCGTTTACATGTGTGCTCCCACGTACACTTTGTCTATAAAGTTGAGTACTAAACAAAATTTAAAACGATTTTGTTAGTGAAACGCATTTGAAAAAATGTTCTTAAGTAATTTAATCTGTGTAGTACGCAGAGATATTCAGAGAGTAGGAATAAGTTATTAAATTATGAAAAATGGCAGATTGGCATAATCAAACTTTCGTATTTTTCAAACAAAATTGAAATTCTTCCAGTGTTTTAGTATATTTCCTGGGTATCTAAGAAAAGCATTGACACCTGTCATGCGGTCGAAGGCTGCTTAGTTTTGATTCAATTTATTCGCGCAGTAGAAACTAATAATATAGATTAGGCGCGTTAGATGAAATGATGATTAAGTTCTAAAAAATTGTCTCATTTTCGCTTAAAAAGCATACTTAATTGTTTATTACTTCCATCCCATTATCTATTATATATTATGAAAACATACAAAAATCAGCACGTGTATTAAAGTAACTGTTTCAGTCGTTGCAAATATAATATAATATTTAATTTCATTGTTAGAATAGGCATGCATTATCGTAAGAGAGACGTTCAATAAGTTATCTACCTCGAAATCTTACGGCATTGTTGGTGAGTTGAGCGTGCACAGGCAGGTTGGGACAGGTTTTGGTATGTTTCGGCCTCGGTTATAAATCAGTCTGCCGTAAGCTCTCAATGTGAGAAAATTTCAAGTGCAGTGCTGTGCAGGTCAACAGAGAAAATACGAGATTTCGAATACCGCGAGAAAATTGAACACTGTGGCTTCGTACAACTTAATTATCCTACATACAGACCAGATCTGGCTCCCAGTGACTCGTTTCTGTTTCTAAACCTGAAAAAAGGTATGGGCGTCAATTTCCTGACGATGAATCAGTTAAGGAAGCTGTAATAGGGTATCTGGAGAGTCAAAATTCTTATTTTCTTTGGGTATTGGATCACTGGAGGCAAAATAGACTAAGTGTGTTGAAGTAAATTGGGTCTGCATTGAAAAATAATGAGGTGAGTTTCAACATAAAATTCCAGATTAATGTTCAGGTAGATTACTTACGCCCTGCATATATACAGTAACTTTAAAGAAAAAAGTTTAATTAAATTTTAATAAACAGAAAAAACAATTTATACTTGATTTAAAATAAAAAATTAGTTATAACAATATAAATATTGCAGATAGTATTATTGTTATTATTATTTATACAATACTATTTTCTTGCGCAGAACTCAAATTATAACCTCACTTTTCCAACGCAACCTGAAGTAACGTCAAGATGCAAAGATCTTATCAAAAAAATGCTTGCTCCTAAAAACAATCGAGTAGATGCTGAAACTATTCTTTGTGATCCATGGCTAAAAAATGAAAGTGCAGTTTTAATAAACTCAAAGGTAAAGTAACGTTAAAATATCGGGAGAAAAAATTTAAATAGAAGTTTGGTCACCCATTTGCTTGGCTAGAGAAGAAATAATAATTATGTGCATGTCATATAATTATTTCAGTTGAGTTCTCAAATAGGACATCTAAATTTACAAAACTCAACAAGGCTAATGCATCATTATCTTCACTTTCGGACGTATTCAAATAGTGAATATATCTAGATTGCAGTCTGTGTGTGGCTAAAATTGATAAAATCTATTTTTTCATTGATATATCTATTATTATTTACTACAACCTGATAGAATTATATGATCTTTGTAATTAGCAATAATTAAATGCCAAACCCACGACAAATGTTTTGTTAATGAAAATCGATTGGGACTGCTTCCGGAAACAATTGTTTGCACTTAATCTGAGCAAGCACATCAGCTATATTGCATGCTATCTAGCCTTCAGTAGTGTGTACGGTCTAATAATTGCTTTTGAATTAATTCATTGTTTCGAATTATTTAACCATGCTCCATACAGAGCAGTGTTTCTTTTTAATGCAATAAGACTTTGCTGACATCATTCCCACCGTTGTTAGTCGCGTTGTTAATTGTGATCCAATTGCTTTAGGACGAAGAGAACAACAGACAATTTCATATAAAACAGAATTCTGACGAAGAGAAAAACAGAAAGCAACCCACTGAAAAACAGAATCTTAACAAAGAAGAAAACCGAGATAAAGAAACCAAACAACATAAAAGGGACGAAGATAACAACAAAAACCGACAAATCGAAGTACAGAATGATAACGATGATAAAAGGTCACAACTTTTTCCCGTTAATTCAGACGGAAGAAGACCCAGGTCCCGTTTAAAATCTGTTATGAAAATTTTAACTAATACGAAAGCTGCGCGAGTGGTTTCGAAGTCTGCCAATGATATGGAAGATAAATTCATTAAATTGAAAGACGGTATCAAGAACCAAGTATTAACAAAATAATTTCAGTTAATCGTGGATTATTTACTACACATATTACGTGACATAACAAAAGATTTTGTCTCTCCACACATGGTCAACGAGTGAAAACACAACTTTGAATCTTACACATAATAATTTGAAGTGCATTTATATAAAACATAGCAAATCGTATTGCATCATAATTATTGGGTTCATTATCTTAAAGAAATCAAATCAGAATGTATATGACTTTAAATCTACCAATTGGAGATGATAATATAATATTGTTATACTATTGACAGAATTAATTACGTAAAATCAAAAAATAAACAAGCTCACAATTTATCCTTTTTGCAACCGAATTTTAATATGATACTTTGAAATTTTATTTCCCGCTTTTCAATGTCAATATGCAAGCGATATTTGCGCAAAGAAAAAATATTAATTCAATATTCTTATAAATCCTTTTTTCTGTCATGAAGTACAGCGTAGTCGTTTGCACCCGGCTCTTCATGCCGTAACTTCATATTCGCATGTTCACGCGAGTACCGATTCATATTAAACAAGCATCAGTCAAATGAAATTTAAAACTTTTGTGAAAATTTAAAACTACATTATTTTTTCTGAAAGTTGATACCAACAAATATGGTGTGATCTTTCCTTGTAAAAATTTCACAAGTTGAGAAATACAGAAATATTGAAATTACAAAAAAAAATATTGGTGACACACTCTGTGACAAGGTAAGATAAAACAATGCTGGCGAGATCTGTACAGTACCAACACTGAAATAATAAAGGTTTATTTGAGGGACATCCGTGCACTTCCAGGCGATGCGAATGTGTTTAGAAAAATATATAGAAAACAAATGTTGCTACTGGTGATGGATAATTAATTTATAAGAAATCGCTCTTCACGGACATCCCTGCAAGGTGATGTATTCACGGATCTATAAATGGATTTCGTATGTATCATTATTACTATTATTATTATTATTATTATTATTATCTTTTAAATGTATTCAGAAAAATTATAGTGGTTAAGATCAAGGTACGAGAGAGAGCTATGATGCGCTATTAATGATTCTTTCATCGAAACCCCTGAGTGATTATTTTGTTCTCGGGCATAATACTTGAGTCATTAGTCCAGCGAAAACAGTGCATGTGTCTCGGTGGCCGGGGTTCCTCTTTCGTTGGCACGCGACATCCGGCGCCGACCCACACGTACACTTGTGTGGTTCCTCCCCCCCTCCCCCCTTTCCTCCGTCAGCGAGGCACCTCCACAGCTGGTACGAGCTCTAAGCTCCTGATTGTTCTCCCAACATATTCGACAGGTGTAGTGCATGTGATTGTCCGAGTAAAGATTTTGGTTCTTTCCGGGAATTGAAATAGATTCTCGCGGATTCAGACGAGATTTGCAACTCTTCCGGCTTCGCAATGTTTTGCAGAGCCATCAAGGTTTAATGTTATTGCAGAGTGCATAAGGTTTCAGGACTAATTTTTTGAGCTATACGTTCCACTCTTGTAGCACAACCTTGTTTGTATTAGAAAAAAAAATAAAACTAAGATGGCGGAAATTGTAAATTCTCAGCTTTCATGTCACAGTGAAATGATCATGTGCATCCATACGTGTATCGTTTATCTAGATCTCAGATTTGCATGTGTACGTATTTACAATTTGTTGGCCTTAATAGGAGGATAAGCACCTTCATTGGAACTGGCAAGGGGCGTCGGCGAGCCGCCCCCGAGCTCCACCAACCCTCCCGAGGCGGGGCGCTTCCGAGCGTACACACGCTTCCAATCACGGCATGTTTGCCGGCGCTGAGCTGCACACACCTTGCTTCCCTCACCCCCCTTCACCACCAAGTGTGTGTGTGCTGATGCCGCGAGCAGCGAATGGATCACTAACCTCTCATCAGTCAGAGGACAGGAATCGTAATTTCTCGTAATGTGGAATTGTAACTTATCTCAGTTCGCGAACACAAAGAAGGGTGAAGTGAATGGATTGTAGGTACTTTATAATTAAATTGTACTTAACATCTGTAATAGTACTTGAAAAGTATAAGTTTGAACACATAATATTAACTGATATCAATATAAACGCTGTGCTGCATTATAATTCCATCACAACTCTTTACATCAGAACATTTTACACCACAACACTCAACTTCACGTCACTTTACTCGAGACTTGACAACACAACATTTGTGTTTGTATTGTGATACTTGAAAATAAGTGCGATGCGATTTGAAATATTACCTCTAAATGTGTTGTTTTTATACAAAATTTAAGATCATTGCAACTAGGCGCCATTGTTTCCGTGCGAGATGGAACGAAATGGGCGATGTGCAAGAGTGTAGTCGGACGAGCGGAGAAGACCAGGAGGGCCTGCAAGGCTGCTAAGTAATTTTGATAAGTAAATAACTGGTCAACGCCGAGTGGCATGTGTATGCATCTGACAATTACATGTTTTAAGAGTACATCTGTGAATAGTACCGTATTCAATATGTTCACAAAAGCTCAGATTTAACTTTGTCAGTGGTGTCGGATTAAAATGTCCATAATAAGTGATTATTTAATCAACAGTTGTATATTTCTTCCCAATCTTTAATATGACATATATTTTCTCTTTGTACACGTTTTCAGATTGTGCGTACACATACGACACAGATTGTGCGTACGACATACTAGAAGCAACGAAATGCGTGTACGCTTGCTTTACCCCATAATTATGCCAGTCGAGTGAATAATCCATGAGATGTGAATGCATTTTAAGAGGAAACTTTCCAGCTTTTGCATTAAAAGATGGCATTGACGCGTGAACGCTTATGCGAATAAAGAACTTATACTTATCTCAAGATTATTAAGTCACTAAAGAATTATCTAAAGAACTTAAACTTTCTACGGCCAGGATAACTGCGAGGAAAGAATTTTACCTTGGGTGTCTTCTGAACTGCAAATCGTGTCTCCTGAACCCCATTAAACCTTCTTCTGGCAGCGCCAAGCTATTTATTATGTTACTGCCCCCGGCATGGAACAACGGGAAAGCACTCCCACAAAATGTCTGAAAGTAGGGCTCTTAAGTTGATTTACAAGTAGGCGGTGGGTGGCACAGAACTCGTTATGAGAAAATCGTTGATCAAACGACTGTCCCGTGCTGCTTTTCTCTAGCTTAAGCTACTGATGTAGAAACTATGTTTTGCGAAACTGAATATATATTTTTATCATCTTATATTTTCATTTTCAAGCATTTCTCTGAAAGATAAGGGCATAAAGGCATTTAAATGTGTACGTACACTTGATTTTTTGTCTGAGAATTATGCAAAGTATGCTTTAGATAAAATGTGTTATTTATTTCGCTATACGTCTTTTTTCATTGTATCCTTTTACGCAGGATTTTATATGCAAACATCTTGAGTGATTTTAAAGGTTGTAGTTTTATAACTACATATGAATTATTCGATTTTTACTTGTAAATGAGTAACGCAAAGTAATGTAATGAAAACAGATATGACCTATTTTTCAAACCCACAGGGTAGGTTTCGTTAACAATGAATTTTTGGTGAAGCAAATTCCAGTTAGGTATTTGCACAACACGAATACCCATTAAAGAGAAGAAAATGACACCAATGTCATTTTTCAAATCGCATTCTTGTCCACATGCTATGCATGTCCGTCTCGAATGAATCGATCATCAGGTTGATAAGTAAAAGAGAAAATGATCATTTTTTAAGATGATTTATCATACCTGATCTGGTCTTTTTACAACTTCTTGTGGAATGTTATTATGCATTAACGATGATTTAATGTGAAATAGAGTCAATTGGGGGAAACCGAATTAGAAAAATCAAATCCTAATTTAAACATTCATTGAAAAGGATTGGCAGGGCTTTGAAGCAGACATCATCGAATTATCAACACCCCTTCTGAACACATCTTTTCAACCTTTTAAAATGTCACTTCATTAAACTTTATTTCTCGCTCCCAAGCAAAAATGAAGATTCGTTCTTAAGACCAGATAGACTGGAAAAGGAAGCAGGAATCAAAAGTCATGTAGGATGTAAAGAAG